TTCATTTTGACTTATGCTTCCTGAGGGCTAGAGTTCAAATGTCAAGGACAGCACCTCAGAATGAGAGGAAAAACTGAATAATCACAGTTTTAATCACAAAGGAAGCAGAGTGAGCAAACTGAAATTGAGGAGAGGCTACCATCTCAAAATCTGACCTTAGAGACATACATCCTCCAGCAAGGCTCCATTTCCTAAAAATTCTGTAACTACCCAAAAGAGTGAGCCCAGCTGGGGACCAAGAGATCAAGCACATGAATCTATGGGGCACATTTCTCATTCAGACTACAGCACTAGCATTATCACATATGACAACTGCTAGTCCATGGACTTCTTGCCTGGTTTCTATCTATCCCTTGCCAAGGCAGTTCTCAGTAATCTTGTTTACCTGCCCCAGTAGTGTTCTCAGAATCAGAACACTGACCCTTCCCACCCAACCCTTACTGGGCAGCAGTTGTAGGGTACCAGAAACTAACTCACTCAGTGATGATTGACCTTGGCCCAACTGCTATGCATCACCTATCTATTGGGCCTCTGGTTGTGAAGAAGGTCACACTCTACTTGAGCATGATCTAATGTGTTCCTCTCTGTGTACATGTAGTACACACCAAAGCTCACGATCTCAATTAAGTTCTTCATGGGATAACAGTGGTTAAGCTGAACATGAAAGAGTAACAGAATTCTTATTCATTAGTGGCATTTTCAGGGCTGTGGAGATGGCCCAGTTGGTGAAGTGTCATCCACACATATGATCTGAGCCTGGATGTCCAGTGCCACTTAGAATGCATTTTGCAATGTGCCTACAATCTTCCCGTTAGGTAAACTGTGATCAGAAGGATGCTGGGGACTATCCTGCTTGCCAATATAACAAGAGCAGTAGGTTCCAGGTTTAATAAGACAAGCCTGTTCCAAAATAGAAGGTCCAGAGTGTTTGAGAAAGACATCTTCTTTCAACTCTTGTTCTCCACATGCTTGTGCATATATGTGCATCTGCACCCAAAAACTTGTGCATACATACATGAACATGTACAGTCATATATCCCAAATAATTTTGAAAGATTTATTATCTTTTTTGTTTTCTTTTATTGTATTTGTATGAATGTTTTGCCTGCATGCATGTCTATGTATCATCTGTATTCTAGAACTATCAGAGCCTAGAATATAGTGATAGACAATTATGATGTTGATGCTGGAAACCAAACCTGAGTCCTTTCAAGAGTGGCAAGTACTCTTAATTGCTGAGCCATCAGTTAACTCCAGTGCTACAAAAAACAATTCTTAAAAGCATTTCCATGACTAATGGTTAATGCTTATTATGCCACTTCTTGGTGGAGTGAAGGGGTAGGGCTTAAGCAAAAAGATTGTCATGACTTCAGGCCAGCTTGTGATACGGACTGAGTTCCAGGCCAGCCTGAACTACAGTGTGTGATGTTATATAAAAACAAACAAAACAAAAAATAACAAAGAATCCCTCCCCATATAAATGAGAAGGAGTGAGTTGGCAAGCATTCTTTCACTGAGGATAGAGAGACAGAGGATACCCTTCTCTTTACTTCCTAGGGACAGAAATTACTTGCTAATTTGTTTCTTATCATTGCTTTGTTCATAGGCATGAACCCAGACCTCCTTAAGAAACAAGAAAACTGGAAATTATTTAAATGTTTCCATATTAAAAACATGATCCAGCCAGTAAATGGGAATAGGCCATGCCTCAGTGGATTGAGTTTGCAACTGGGAAGTAAGGAGCTGTGAGGTGGCCATCAGAACTTGAGGGAGTTTTGTAGTGTCAGACACTATATTGAGAGACTTCAAAAGGTAAAGAGGTTTTCAAGAAGTTTTCTGTGAGATAAATATGTCTCTACTCAGCTATTCAATTAATAAGAAATGGTAACTCTTTTTGTCTTTCCTCGTGATTGGGCTATTATGCAATAGTGATAATTATTATTGTTGACAAAGCATGAAAGCAGAGCCATGAGAAGGGTGTGATCCCTACATGGGCTCCAGCAACATATCCACATCTATAAGGTACTGTTCTTAAGAATGGGCACCTTCTTGATGCACACACGTGGGTCCCTGAACTCAGGATGAAGAGTGAGTGTGACATAACAGATAAAGAAAACAGAATTCCTGGAGAGAAAAATAGAGACTCCTTTATTGGCTACCACATGGGGAGATAAGAGGGGAAATCAAAGTGAAGAGGAAAGAACAATTTATTACTTATGAAGTGGCTAATGTGATTAGCTTTTGGGTAGTGTGTGTGCGGAGGCAAGCAGCTGGAGAGGGCTTTTTGATCTTTGGCTGCCTGTCTGAAGGATCACACATAGGGTGGGGGAAGTTCTCAGATCTGCAGCTCTGGGCACAGAGCCTAGCTCTTTGAAGTGATTCCCTTTCCACATTCCCTGCTAATAGACAGTGAAGAAGGAGGCCATGTCCCTGAGGGGCAAGAGGGGCCTTGAAGTTTCCTCAGTCATGGGAAGTTAACAAAGATAACTATGGGCAACGTTGTAGGTGGTGCAATCTGCATTCAACATCACTCTGATGCTTCTTGGCTCCAGCCCCACTTGGGTGCATAGTGGGCTATTGCTAGGCTTTCTGATTGCTGAGAGTTCTCTAATCAGCCTAGATTGTATGCTACACCATGGCTTCCTGCTCTTCTGTCAAACTGTCCTGAATGCATGCCACAAGGGGCTTGGTGTGAACTGAATGTGTGTGCTATGAGCACAATAGCAATACCTGATTTTGTGAAAGGTAGTTATGTGTCAGGTCTTATTTTAGAGCTTTATCTCTGTATTTACCTGTTCTAAGACTTACAATTACTCTGACAAATCAATTAACAGAGACCAGCGACTACTGTAGTAAGTACGGTGTCAATCTAAATGCTAGCAAACAAGAATAACATAACAACTCTTTGTAAAAATAGTCTTTATTTCCCCCAGATCTTGGGTGCCGTCTTTAACTTTCAGATCTTTCCTTGTATATATGCCTGTAATATGCAAAAGTAGAAGGGTGGGGGTAGAATAAAAACATATTCACTCTAAACTGTTAAAAACCAAGCATCAGGGGAGGTGTGCAAACACCCTCAGGAAGAAGTTGCACCCCCCACCAAACCTATTGCAAGGCTGTATACTGATGAGAACTACCATGGTTGTGAAGATTCTTGGATGTAAGTCTAATCACAGCTTCTGTTAGAATATGTTTAGTTCCCAAAAGAGCCAGTCCTTGCCTATTTCTGTGTCTGACCTAAAATCCTGTGATGAACAGATAAAATCTTTTTGGACAAAACCCTAGTTTTCACCAACCAAAAGACCAAGGGTGTTATCAGTAAGCACCTGAGACCAATCACATGGATTTCTCTTCTCAGCTGGCTGCAGCTGTGTATTTGAAATGTGCCTGATTTATTACTCGCTTTGTTCTATTACTATAAAAACTTCATTAGGCCATTACTATATTGAAGTTTGGAATTTGAGAAGCCTTGAATCTGCGTTCCTGGGTCATAGTCATTGATATTGGGCTTTAGAATAAACTATACCTTGTCCCTGTTAAGATGATATGTGTGCATCTTGCACTGGGAGGAATATTTAAGAATCATTTGTAAATAGTATATAATGTAATATCTTCCAGGCCAAACAGGACCGATACACATATGAATTGCCAAAGGCTGTGGCAGTATGCATGAGACCTGCACGGATTCCAACCAGGGAGGATCCCAGTAATAAAAGGCAGAAGGACATGGGGTCCCAACCCTAACCAAGAAGCCATTTGCTAATGATACCTGCTGGTAATGAAGTGTCACTAGGTACATCAAAACACTTCATAGCAAACATCAAGTCCAGGAATATTTGAACAACCCAAAACCACCTGCATGTTTTATTTTGTTTGTGTGTGAATTTTTTGTTTTGCTTTTTATTGCTTTGTATTTGTTTGTTTATTTTGATTTTTATTGTATTTTATTGTTACTGGGAAGAGAGAAAACAGAGCACACACATAAAGTTAAGTGGGTAGGGAGGTGTGGAGAAGACACTGGGGGAGCTGGGGGAGGGGAAAACAATTACAATACATTATACATTCTATCAAATTTGTTTGTTGTCATTGCTCTATCATGGTATTGTAGGGAATTTTACAGTGGATGACAAGGGCAGACACAACTTCTAGTCTTAATGAATTGAATTTATAATTTAGTGAAAGTTTCTTTAGTGGTATAGATACAGTACCTTCCTTTTTTCCATGCCTCCTTTTCCTTTCATCATTTTAAACAAAATGTATAGGAAACAGTAAGCCAGACAGGTTTTCATCATTTCATTCTAATTTGTTTTATGACGTTTTCTTCTCATCCAGTGGTAGAATTTTATATGGGTTTCTATTTTTTATCTACTTGTCCTTAATTGAAAACTTGACTTTTTAAAATTGTTTTAGCTATTTATACATTAATCTATGTGAGAACATGGTGTTCTGGGTACCTACAGAAGCCAGAAGAGGGTGTTGGATTCCCTAGAATAGGATTACAGGTGGTTGTGAGCCATTTCCCCTGATGCTGGAATCCAAAATGGGGTCTGAAATAGCAGTGGGTGCTCTTAACTTCTAAGTCATCTTTTCATCCCCCTCAATTGTGAATTTATCCATCTTCAATTACTGATACATCAACACTACTCCTCTAAATGTACTCTTACCTTCCCTTTTGTTCAAGTTCAGCACCTGAGACATTTTCTAAAACAGAACTAACAACTTGACTAATTTTGATATATACCATAAAGGCAGTTATTAATTTAACAAAAATAAAGTTGGGGGATTCATGGACTGTTTTAGTTAGGTTATAACATCATTTTGCCAGCTTTTCCTACTTTAAATTTATTTACTCTTCCTTTTATGGTTATATCTTGGGTAACAGCACAACGTGTTATTTTATTGCATAACCATACGCTCAAACAGAAAGAATCAACAAATTACAGGAATAGAATACTTATTTGTGACATCAAAATGATTCCAGAAACTTTATGACTACTTACTGACTTCATCCTCATTTCAATATAGAAGGAGGTGAGAGGTCAAGAGCATTCGTCTGCTTTGTGTCTCTTGCAACCTGAAATGAAGACACAAATGTGGAAAATAACTAATAGAACATTAGGATGAGAGGAAAAGATTGTTGAACACCCAGACTCTCTAAGAACAGTTTCACTTCGTATATGACCACCAGACCTGGGTTTGCCTTCTCATTTTGGTATAAATATCTCAGAAGTTGTTTTCTTATCAGTATATTTGGGGTTCTCATTCCAGTTATTTTTCTGCATCAATGTTTCTATCATCCTTCTGAGTCCTGAAAATTGTAGATATTTCTGGATTGGTATGATGAGCTTGCTTCCCACTGCTACTGTGGATAGCTTTCCTTCCAATATTGTATGTTTTCTGATAGCTGGTGAGATTTTGGATGAGTAAGCAGAATGGTTTGGCTCAAAGTCAACTGTCTAGAAAAAAAGTCAGCCTTACCATTTTAAACATAGTAGACAAGCCAAGAAAGACTACATGCTCAGCTCAATCAGTTTGGCAGAGAGAAGGTGTACCATGTTGTCATTGCTACACACTGCAGAGTGGATGCATGTGGGGACTTCTAGGCTGGGGCTTTAGCTTACTACATCAGACTTAGTCTCCAAATATTACATTTGAAAATTGAACAGTTGTTTTGATTTGGTTTGGTCTTGTTTAGCTAAAACATCTTGTATATTCCTGGAGATTTTTCCACATAGAGATTGATTAATTGTAGACAAGCAAAACAGAAAAATCAATAATGTACAGTTTTGACATTCAGCCCTTTTTAATGGCTCAAGTCTTTTTATGAAATGATGTGAAAGTTATTAAAGAAAATTTGTGACAATATGCAAATTGTTTTTTAATCTACTTTTAGAAACATTTAGCTTTACGAGACTTTACTGTGTATTATTCTACATTGTTCAAAGTCACTTTAATGACATTTACTGTTTTGTATATGAACCCCAAAATATGACATTATATATTGAGTAACAATAAATAAAGTTTACATAATAAATTATTGTTTCTATATGAGAATCTCAAAATATCAGTTTTGTGTTAACACAACTTAAAGTATACCAGGCACCTGAATAAATGCCAAAATAGGCTACCCTTTAGTGGGTTCCAAGAAGAACTGCACAACAGTTAGATGCTGTTGAAACCCTCATCTACCACTTAGCCAAAAATCACCTGTGTTTTCTAAGAACAAAGCCATGCTCTAGACATCTTCCAGATGCCTAAGAGATTAAGACATAGGGTTTTGTTCCTGGTCAGAGTACCCAGGAAGCAATGAATAACATGCAATGACGAGTTCAGCACCAATGTTACCATTGCGGCTCTCCTGGGCTATCTGCGCTCAGCACAATCCCAAATCTTTGAGCCTCATCATCACAAACCCAGTTAACTACACTATACTCATCATGATGGAAGTTATCAAGAAGCTTGGTTTACAGCCCCAACATGACCTTCAGTACGATGATCCTGGATATCATTAGAGAAAACACATGCTGGTTTAGATGAAGCATTTGTATTCAGCTCTAATCATTAGTGACAAGGCTGAAAAGCTAAGTATCTTCTGAATCTCTCAGAGCATCTCCAGGCCAGCATTGTTCTGTCACCTTGTCTATGGCTTATGCTTGAACCCACTCTGTCTTCTCCCTGGTGGATACCATGAACAGGAAGAAAAAAAGCTGATGAGTGTACTTTCCTTCAGTCCAAAGAGTCAGTACACACCTATTGCTCCAGGCTGTTGATGCTGGGGAAAAAGGGATCTGTAGAATAACCTGATATTGACACAATGACCCTTCTGAGGAGAAAATTATTGCTGATGCCATTGTAGAGATTAAGGCCTCCACCAAGAATGGCAGGGACTATGTCAAGAACATGAAGTGAGGAGTGGCCTTGAGTAGCAGTGTCACATAACTTATTCAGTATCCTGTCATTAAAGCCACTTCAGAAAGCTTTGTCTTTCATTTGCTTTTATGGTTAGTGTTGGATGTTCTACTTTCCTTATAAAATATACCTTTTGATAACAAAACGCAAACCCTTCCATCCTGCATGATATTTTTGGCTTTGATTATAATTTTTTTCTTTTTGCAAAAATGAATGTAATGCCTAGGGAGACCAAAAGAACACACCAGATAGCCCAGTGCTGCAACTACAGGGTATTGTGTGCTGTGTGATATGGATGCTGAGAACTAAACCCAGGTCCTCTGGAAGAGCAGTTAGTGCTCCTGTTACATGAGATTTTCTCTGGCTCGGGTAGGTCCCACTGCCTGTCTCTGCCCCAAAGAAACACGACGCAGACACTATGTTTGTTAGTAAGCTGTTGGCCATTGTCTAAGGTTTCTTATTTGGCTAGCTGTGACTAACTATTAACTAATTTTTATCAATTTAAGTATTCCCACATGGTTTTATCTTACCGGAGAAAAAGTTTGGGCCCCTTATGGGTCTATATCATGTCTGTTCAGCATCTTCATAGAGAAGTGAGAGAGGAGAGAAATTTCCTGCTTGTCCCTGCTTACATTGTGTTACTAGCTGCTACATCACTTCTTGCCTGGATCACATGGCAACATTGCTTTACTACATTTCCCAGAATTCTCCTTGACTCCTAGTCCCACCTATCTTGCTTCCTTATTGGGCAACAGTGCTTTATTCATCAACCAATAAAAGAAACATATACACAGGATTTCCCCCATCATTCTCCTAACCATCTTTCTAGCTCTCTGAATCATATTTCCTCTGAGATTTACCTTGACACACCTTCTTACATTTTGTGTCTTAATTACCTGAATATCAACTCAACCTTTATCTTTTGTTCATAATTATTATATGATATATATTATTGTGCATTTACAACTTTGGCTGGTTTTTAAGGCAAATTTTTAGTGGTTTCCTTCTGTTTTTGTATTCATTTGTGTGTGTGTGTGTGTGTATGTGCACACATGTGCTGCAGTGTGTGAGTAGAGGACAATTTGCTGACTTACTGGAGTTGGTTCTCTCTTTCACAATGTGGGTCCTGAGGATCAAATCAGCTAGTACCACCAGGCTTATTTACCCAATGAACCACTCCCTAGTCCCTTTAATGATTCTATTAAGTTCACCTCTCCCTTAGTTTTTATAACAGATGCATCTCATTCTCCTGAATTGAAGATTTTCAGACTAAATATAGTGATCTCATCTTATGTACTTTCTGGGTCTAGATAGGTGGCTTAATGATTGCAGACATCTGTTCTTCCAGAAGATCTTAGTTTAGTTCCCAGACCTGCACCAGGTAGTTCATAACCCTCTTTAATTACAACTCCAGTAGATTCAACACCCTCTTCTGGCCTCTGTGGACACTGCACATACATGACATACACTCTCATGCAGAAACACATATGCACATGGATACTCATAAATAAAGAAATTAGAAAGTAAATCTTTCTTAAGAAAATCAGGCCAGGCATTGGTGGCGCATGCCTTTAATCCCAGCACTTGGGAGGTAGAGGCAGGCAGATCTCTGTGAGTTTGAGGCAAGCCTGGTCTACAGAGCAAGTTCCAGGACAGCCTCCAAAACAATACAGAGAAACCCTGTCTCGAAAAACCAAAAACGAAAATAAAAAAAGAAAAACAGAGAAATCTTTCTATGGATCACAAGACACCATCACTCCTAATCAAGTTCTAATGAAATACAGAAAATGAAGCAGTTTGGGGAAAGAAGGTTTATTTTGACTTACAGTTCTACTTGGATACAGCACATCATGGAGGCAAAGGAATAACAGTAAAATCAGGAGGATGTCTGGTCACATTGTAGCCACATTCAGGAAGCAGAAAGAGAAAAGAAGTAAGGCAGGAATATGAGAACTGAAAGCCTACTTACCCAGTTCCTCCAGTGACACTTCACCACATATAGGATGGACAACCTTCCCAGTATCACTAGCTGGGAAATAAGTGTCAAGCATTTGGGCCTATAAGTAACTTTTCATATTGAAGCCACAGCACATGTGCACACAAATACAAACTGCACTTCACTCTGCAAATCTAATGATGGAAACTTCCTCATTCTCACACTTGTTTGCAGCCCAGGAGATGTCACAAATCTGAAAGAAAATTGCACAGAAAGCTATTCTTTTATTTTTTGTTGAAAACCACCTTTCTTATATATTGAGTATATGGTTGATTTTTTTCTTGCTCTCTGAGTCCATGCAGTGATGCAATCTCTGCTTCTCTGTGTGTATTTATTAAGAAGTCATGCCTGCATAATCTACAGGTAGCTGCTATACAAAGGCAAAGATCTTTTGTGATAATTTCATGAGGGTCTCAGGACACACAGGAAGTGTCTACCATCACTTCTGGCTTTATTAAAGGAAGAGGTGTAACATGTCTTTCTTTGGCCATGCCTCTGTGCATATGTGATGCTCCTGGGGTTTTGCAATGCCTCCGACTGCAAACTTATAAACATTCTCATTTCGCATGAAAAGAAATTGAGTTTTTACATATCCTGTTGGGAACTGAAGAGATGGCTCAGTAGTTAAAAGCCCCTAATATTCTTCCAGGGAATGTAACTTGAACTCAAGCACTCATATTGGGTAGCACACAATTGCCTGTAACTCCAGTTCCAGGATATCAGGATCCAATGTCCTCTTCTTGTAACATAATTTATAGATAGATGATAGATAAATAGGTAGATAGACAGATAGGTAGATACTTAGATAGATAGATAGATAGATAGATAGATAGATAAATAGATAGAAGCAGGCACATACACATTTAAATAATAATTTGCTTTCCTTCAAATTTGAAGGTGAAATTCCATCATAATTTCCTGGAGATGGTTCCTAATACTCACAGCTTTCTTCTCCCCAGGAGATCAGGTGGGAGGATCTGGGAAGCTTTTCTGTGTGTTTCTGCTTGGACACTACAAATTCAAACTTCCAGTCATTATCACTGACAGAAGGACAGGATGTAGTACAGGAAACAGAGGGAGTTTAGGAGAATGACAGTGTGAAGATAGCTCTGTACATGCTAACTACATGCAAGAAACCTGGAATCTATCTAAGAAGATAACTATGGAAA